TCACAGCATCTTCACCAAGAATAGATTCTATCTCAAGAAACCACTTTCTTGGCTCATCCATAAGAAGCAACTCTTCATCTGTTAGAGTTTTCTCATGAGCAATTCAGCACATCTTCAGGCTCCACTTCTAATTCTAGTTCTCTTGCTATTTCCACCACATCTGCAGTTAGTTACTTCCTCCACTGAAGTCTAGAACCCCTCAAAGTCATCCATGAGGGCTGGAATAAACTTCTTCCAAACTCCTGTTATTGCTGATATTTTGACCTCTCTCCATGAATCATAAATGTTCTTAATGGCATCTAGAATTGTGAATCCTTTCAAGGTTTTCAACTGACTTTGCCCAGATTATCAGAGGAATCACTATGGCAGCTACAGCCATATGAAAAGTTTTTTGGGTGTGTGTGTGTGTGTGCGCGCACGTGTGCGTGTGTGTGAGGAAGATTGGCCCTGAGCTAACATCTGTTTCAATCTTCTATTTTGTATGTGGGTCGCTGCCACAGCATGGCTTGATGAGTGGTGTTAGGTTCATGCCCAGGATCCGAACCTGTGAACCCTGGGCTGCTGAAGTGGAGCGCGCGAACTTAACCACTACGCCACTGGGCCAGCCCCTGAAAATATTTTTTAAATAATAAGACTTGAGGGGGCCGGCCCGTGGCTTAGCAGTTAAGTGCGCACGCTCTGCTACTGGCAGCCCGGGTTTGGATCCTGGGCGTGCACCGATGCACCGCTTCTCCAGCCATGCTGAGGCAGCGTCCCACATACAGCAACTAGAAGGATGTGCAACTATGACATACAACTATCTACTGGGGCTTTGGGGAGAAAGGGGGGAAAAAAGGGAGGAGGATTGGCAATAGATGTTAGCTCAGGGCTGGTCTTCCTCAGCAAAAAGGGGAGGATTGGCGTAGATGTTAGCTCAGGGCTGATCTTCCTCAAAAAAAAAAAAATAATAATAATAAAATAAATAAATAATAAGACTTGAAAGTTGAAATGATTCCTTGACCCATGGGCTGCAGAATGGATGCTGTGTTAGCAGGTGTGAAAACAACATTAATCTCATCATACATCTCTGTCAGAGCTCTTGGTGACCAGGTGCATTATCAATGAGCAGTAATATTTTGAAAGTAATCTTTTTTTCTGAGCAGTAGGTCTCAACAGTGGGCTTAAAATATGCAGTAAACCATGTTGTAAATAGATGTGCTGTCATCCAGGCTTTGTTATTCCACTTATAGAGCACAGGTAGAATAGATTAAGCATAATTCTTAAGGGATCTAGATTTTTGGAATGGTAAATGAGCAGTGACTTCAAGTTCAAGTCACCAGCTCCAATAGCACCTAACAAGAGAGTCAGCCTGTCCTTTGAAGCTTTGAAGCCAGGGATTGACTTCTCCTCTCCAGCTATGAAAGTCTTAGATGGCATCTTCTTCCAAGATAAGGCTGCTTCATCTACACTGAAAATCTGCTGTTTAGTGTAGCCACCTTCATCCATCACCTTAGCCAGACCTTCTGGAGAACTTGCAGCTTCTAGGTCAGCACTTGCTGCTTCTCCTTGCACTTTTATGTTATGGAGACGGCTTCTTTCCTTAAACCTCATGAATCACCCTCTGCTAGCTTCAAGCTTTTCTTCTGCAGCTTCCTCACCTCTCTCAGCCTTCGGAGAATTGAGGAGAGTTAGGGCCTTGCTCTGGATTAGGCTTTGACTTAAGGGAATGTTGTGGCTGGTTGATCTTCTCTCCAGACCACTAAAACTTTCTCCCTTTCAGTAATAAGGCTGTTTTGCTTTCTTACCATTTGTGTGCTCAATGGAATAGCACTTTTAATTTCCTTTAAGAACTTTCCTTTGTACTCACAACTTGGCTAACTGTTTGGCGCAAGAGGCCTAGCTTTCAGCCTACCTTGGCTTTCTACTGCCTTCCTCACTAAGCTTAATCATTTCTAGCTTTTGATTCAAAGTGAGAGACATGTGACTCTTCCTTTCACTTGAACAGTTAGAGGCCATTATACGGTTATTAATTGGCCCAGATTCAATACTGTTGTGTCTCAGGGAGGAGGGAGGCTCAAGGAGAGGGAGGGAGACAAGGGCATGGCTGGTTGGTGGAGCAGCCAGAACACACACAACATTGGCTGATGAAGTTGCCTGTCTTATACAGGCGTGGTTCATGGTTCAAAACAACTACAACAGTAACATCAAAGATCACTGATCACAGATCACCACAACAAATGAAAAGTTTGAAATACTGCAGGAATTACCAAAATGTGACACAGAGACATGAAGTGAGCAAATGTTGTTGGAAAAATGGTGCCAAAAGACTTGCTCGATGCAGGGTTGCCACAAACTTTCAGTTTATAAAATACACAATACCTGTGGACTGCAATAAAATGAGGTATGCCTGTGCTAGGCTAGTTCTGGGTATTCCTAACATCCTTTAGAATAATATCAGACAGACCCAGGGAGGGTATTTATAGTCCAGAAGGAAAGAGGACTGAGAGGCGGGCAGGTGGACAAGCGTGAGTCATGCTTTATTCTGTCCACTCAGGCGCGGACAGAGCCCTTTCTCGACTAAGCACAAGTGGCGTGGCAGCTGACAGTACCCACACACAGAACTAGGAGGTTAGGAGGTGATCGTGCTTAATTCCAAAGTGGCAGGCAAAGGGACAATATAGGAAAAAGAAAGTGATAGAAAGGGAATAGTAGGCCAGGGAAATAAGAAAAATATTTGGGAAAAACAGCCTGCCTTTCTCTTTTGAGTTCTTCTCTATTGTTCCTCTGGAATCTCTCCTAAGGCCTTTGCCATAATTACTCATTTCAATAAAAATATCTTAGATTTGAAAAGAATACGTAAGGGAAAGAATACCATATTGGATATTAGGAGATCAAACCAAGTTCTAATCCCATTCACACCACAAATCTGCTGTGATATCAAGGACATTTCAACCTCTCTGGGCCTCAAGTGAAAACAAAGGTAGAGGTAAGAAGGGGATTTACAGAGTATAAAGGCTGATGTTCCCTCTGGAGGCAGATTCCTGTGATCCCTGTCAATGTGCTGTGGAGTCTCACCTCCTTCCTTCCAGTCCCGGCGCCCCTCCACTGTGACTCAGAGACCTGCGATGTCCTGTCAAGACTCCACAGAAGCAGGTCCTTAGGTCCTTTTACTCAATTGAGTAACACTCCCTCCCTTTCTCTTCCTGCTGCCTCAGCCCCCAGGGACTTCCTTTTCTTCTTCAAGAATCTAGTCGTCACTCTCCTCATGACCAATGGCGGCCCCACCCACAACCTCAGGGGGAGCTGTTACCCGCAGCCCCTCTCCCCCCACCCGGCCTCTGCCCGCCTGCTGCTGGATTGCGCCTCTCCTACTCCTGTCCCACCCCAACTGTCACTTGCCATTCCCATCCCAAAGCCATCATTCTTGACAGGAAAGAGATTCCCACTGCCCAAGGCAGGAGTTAGGAAGCAGTGAAAAAAAACAGAAAAAGAACTCCTATTCCTATTGCCAGGGTTTTTGTTGTAGGGAACTTGTGTTTCTGAGGCACAGTAGGAGCTTACAAAGTGTGTTCTAGTGAATGAAATAGTGTTTCCCAATCAAAACTCTTAAAGCTGTTTCCCAGAGTTGTGTTACTATCGACCCAGCAGTTCTGTATTCCATATACCCATGATGGCGTAAACAGTTTGTCTGCAGGCTGGCCAGGGAACCTCACTCTCAGGAGGCATTGTTTCTATGGGAAAATGCTGTCTGAGCAGCAAACAACTGACTTACTAGTGCTCTTTAAAAACCACCTTTCCCTCCTCAGGAATGGCTTTTAAAACAGATAAATTAAAAAATCTGCTAGGCAGAAGAAGAAAGCAAATTAACAGCCATCTCCGGCTGTAACATAGTTCTGTGTACATATATTATCATACAGACACACATATGAATAATGTATATATACACAAATATGTAAGGAATAACTTGGTAAAAGTAAATGATCTAATTCATCTCTCTCACACACACACGCACACACACACACATCACTCTTATCTTCATGAAGAGCATGGAGTCAGCCTCGCTAGACCAGTCCCAAAAGTAGATGTATTCTGTGAGAAGGAGGTTTCAGTAATGGTAAGAATAAAAACAAATGATGTGTAGACCACATGGTGATTATCAAAGGATCTAGAAAACCAAGTATTTGGAAAAGAATATAGAAACACATAGAAGAGCTAAATACAGGGGCTGGCCTGGTAGCGTAGCAGTTAAGTGCGCGTGCTCCACTACGGCAGCCCAGGTTCAGATCCCGGGTGAGCACTGGATGCACCACTTGTCAAGCCATGCTGTGGTGGCATCCTATATAAAGTGGAGGAAGATGGGCATGGATGTTAGCCCAGGGCCAGTCTTCCTCAGCAAAATGAGGAGGTTTGGCGACAGATGTTAGCTCAGGACTAACCTTCCTCACCAAAAAAAAAAAAAAAAAAAGAAGAGTTAAATATAGACAAGGTATCCCCCCAAATACTCGTTTCCAAACAAGACCCTCCTTAGAAAATGAATGTATGGAAGTTCTCACTCGCTGCCTCAAAGTCGTGGAGTAGGTCACAGATATCCTCCTCTGAAGAAGATGTTCAGTGGTGCTCTGGGAAGGAGGCAAGACACAGAGGCAGGGAGCAGGAGGTACGTGTAGGGGAGCAAGCGAGTGGGGGCCTGGCTGGAGAAGCCGGAAAAGCTGCGGCTGAGGCCTATAGAGAGCTTTCGTCTGCTGAGCTGAAGTGCTCAGGTCTGACGGGTGAAGTCACGAGGTACCGGGGTTCTGAGATAGGAAGATGGAATGAACAGTACAAACGGGGGGGGCTGTCAGGGCCTTCCACACCTGAGCCATCACGGACCTCCCAAGTACCAAATCCCTGGCAGTGCCCCTGGGCCTTCAACGCAATCTTTGATGCTGCAATCTAAAGTGAAGGAGGATGCCTCAAACAAGGAAGGGAAGGAGGGGAGCAGAGGGGAACGGTACCCCTGCGCTCTGTCCAGGGTGACTCACCTCATAGAACAGTCCCTCCGGGAACTGCTGGAAGCACTGAGCACACACAAAGCACTGCTCATGGTACAGCTCGCCATTACTGTTCACGATCTTCTCAGCGGGCGCAAAACCGCCCTTGCAGCGCTCACAAGTGGCGTTGGCCAGGGCATTGGCCATGTTGCTGAAACACACAAAAGACAAGCAGTCACAGATTGTCAACCTTTTCTTAGACTTAAGATCAAACAACACAAAGAACTGAGGAGCAAATTCTCTGTTCACAAAAATCATATTTTATGTATTATAAAGCCCAATTTCTTCCTTGTGTCTTACGTACTCAACTCAAACTGTTCCTGTCTCTTTGCCCTAGTATCTTAGGTTCTGAAAGGGCCTCCTGCTTGGAATCTGTTTTTCTTTAACATTTCTGACATTCCTCTTGCTAAATATACTACGGCAAGTGCCTACTACCTGTGAGAACTAGGGATAGAGATGAGAGTCAACAGTCGTCCTCAGGGAACTCGTACGTAACTTAATTAAAACACCCCCAAGTCAACATCTCAAAGCAAATTTTTCTCCCTTCTGAGAACAGAATCTAAATTGCACATCCTCTGAATGCCATGTCATAGCCTAATCACTGATTATCCCTTTAGTTATAACCTGTTGAAAGCATCTGCTTAAGCAACTCTTAAAACCAGCCAAAATGCCTAGTCCTATAATCTAATTGGCAAAACAAATATTGAACACTAATATTATAAAATGTATCTTAAAATCACAGAATTTTACATTATGAAGGTCATTTTACAGAGGATGAAATGGAGGTTAAAAGAGGTGGACCAGACTCCAGGTCCCCCGCTCATAAGATTACAACCAGATTACAATACAAATTTCAAACACTTGAGAGGACATGACAGGGACACCACCACACTTTACAGATCAAGAAAATGAAACCAGGCAATCAAGGAATCAGACGAGCCCAGTGACTTGGGAACTCCCTCGCCAGTCATTTCACTACACCTGGAAACACATGCGAGGCATTCAATCCACAGCCCCAAGTTCCACCTACCCACTGTGCAGTTTGGAAGAAGAAAAGCATACCATTAAGCATGTAATCACATGATTATTCCCTAATGAGCCCCCTGCACTTCACATCAAGAACTGTTCTGATTCTGAAAGGCCTTGAAGTGGAGAAGGTCCTCTCAGCAGAGCAGTCAGTGGTCAGCTGTCCATATTGTAGCAAGTTTATTTCGGACGCCCACTCGGCACGAGCTCTCCCTCTGTGTCTGGTCCCCTGGTGCCACTTCTGACCACCCGGATTATTGAAACAATCCACTCGTGAAGTTACTGCTCATGTTCCCCTGAATCCCCTCAACTCCCCTCTGACGCAGGCAGGATGCGGGTCTCTGTTTACAGACACATTAACTGCCTTGTCCCATAGCAGTTTCTGAGTTTTGCTGTTTCCTTAGCACAGGTGTTCACACATACCTTGTTTCACCTCCACCCCACCCCAATGGAAGACAACTGTGCCTCCCTCCCCCTAAATATTCCAAAGAACAGTAGTCCAATTTTGTAGCCTTGCCATAACTAACCCCATGCAGAAGTACCATGTTCATGACCCCATACCCATCAAAACTCAGCTTTACTTGATAGGCTTAAATAGAGAATTAAAACGTCACCAAAAAAAAAGGAAGGGAGGGAGGAAGGCAGACAGCCTCACTATTTGGCAAACCTAGCCTAAGTTTCATATTAAAATGAATTTTCTATTTTGTCATCTCAAAATCACTGTGAGCTAGGGAGAAAAGTCCGTAAAATTCTCTTCTTCACCGGGCTTTACCGTAAGCCAGATGGACTGTGGCACTTTTAGCAAAGCTCCTGTGAAGATTTGTGATTCTCCCTTTCTTTTGACCAAAATTCACAGATGTCCATTGATGAAGAACGGTAAGCCCACATCTGCCCCAATAGTTCTTAGTACCGTTTGAGGATAAAATAAGAAAAAGTATGTAAAACCACTTTGGAAACCAGAAAATGCTACTCAAATATAAAGCATTATTATTAATTTTAAATCCTCTCAAAAGATTCACCAAATTCTCAATGATTTTAATAGAACTCTAAAAAAGCTGGAAAAGAAGAACATTCTGGAATGTCCTGATTCATGATTACCTAGATCAGTAGTTCTCAAAGTGTAGGGGCCACCATGACCCTTTCAGGAGTTTGGAAGGTCCTCCCCTTTTCCAATTACATCTCTGTGGGAGGCCATATTTTCTTTATATACTTTATCTAAAAAAATGTTATAATAGGATGACCGCAGCAGCAGATATGTGAAACTGTCTTTTATTAAGACAGACATTAACAAGATTTGCAAAAAGGTAATACAATGCCACTTTTCCCACCAAGCTTTTGTCGTTTTGGAAGTTATTTTTCATAAAAAATTAATATTTATTCAAATATTATTAATATATGAGTTTACTGTTATTTTAAATTAATAAATATTTTAAAATTTTCTCAGCTTTATTTTCTAATACAGAAAATACCGATGAACAAAACAAAAGCTCTCTGGGGACCTCAATAATTTTTAAGAGCATCAAGGGGTCCCAAGATCAGCACATTTATCACCGACCTGTTCATACTCACTATACTGTAGACTGCTTATATTCAAACTCAAACAGTCGAAGAGTCAGAAAATAGGTAGACACATTACAAAATCAAGCATATAAGTTTTTCCCACAAACAGAAAAAATAAACTAGTTTTAGAGATAACATAATATGTATTTTTGAAGAGGTATTCCTTTTAATAACAAGCAGGAAAAGAAAGGAAACAGAACATTAAAGGAAACTTTCAGGAAAAAAACACCAATAATCTCACCAACCTAGTGAACTGTGTACATTTCCCTTTCCTCTCTTGTCTTTGACCCTCTGGCACTATGTGTTTTTTTTTTAATAGACTATGTTTTAGAGCAGCTGCAGGTTCACAGCAAAACTGAGCGGAAGGTACAGAGACTTCCCACATCCCCCTCCCCGCAAATGCAGGGCCCCCCATTACAACATCGCCACCAAAGAGGTACATTTGTTACAACTGATGAACCTATATTGACCTATGTGTTTTTTTACAGTTGATTTTTGTATTTAATACTATATATGATAGAAGTTACTTTTTTAAAGTCATGAATGATAGTTATAGCTGTCACTTGTTATAATTAATTGGCTAATTTTTCAGAAAAGAATTTTCACTAAAAAGTGTTGCTGACAGGAATACAGACGTCGGGGAGTATAGATAGGTAAGAGCCTTTAGTAGCGACTCTTCATATCTGGCCAGTCATAACTGATTTAGCTGATCCACTTCCACAAATCACCTGAACACAGAAAACCTGAGCTTTCGTTACTCAAGTGCCTCATTTATCAAAGTATGTGAAACAAATTTTCTGGCATTAAAATGCAAAAATGCGTAAATCCAAAAAGCATCTTGAGAGATCACCAAGTATTTTGGCTATAATATAATTATAACTGCCCAATTACTCTTAAACAGAGCTCTGTATGAGTCGTGAAAAGAAATGACATCTGTTGCAATACGACACAGAATGGATTAATGGAAATAGACAATCAGGTCAAGTTAAATTCTCTTTAACTCTTAATTGACAAATTAGGGATTTGCAATAATTCCAAGCATACAGCTTTGAATAAGGTCAACAATCTTACAAGAGTTGGTCTAAATACTACTTTGTAATATTTAAAAAAAAACAACTGCTAAAACCCATTTCATAATATGAAGTAGACTAACTTTTTAGAGATAACGCCATGTTTTATTTACATGTACATATTTGCTAGTTACACAACATCCTTATTTATTCATTCAATCCCTTAGAGACTGTATTAAGAAAAACCCAGTTAGCCTACTTCAAATTGCTGGTTGTTAAACATAACAAAAATGTGCATCTTTATCAATAGTCTGTAATTCAGTTTTTCACTGTTTCCCTCAACATGCATCTTATCTATGGGAAGTTTCAGAGTATAAAATTTTTCTATTACAAATCCTGACAACAAAAACTCTAAACCTCCCTCTTCGACTATCTAATGAAAATGTGCTATTATCAGGAACCTACTAAAGACCAGGACGTGACTACTCTTATTGAAAGGCGGCATTTTCCTTCACTTGTGCATTTCAGGCCCTGGAAGTTTACAGGAGGCGCAACCTGCCTGCCTGCCGGAACAGGCTGCCCGGGAGCAGCCCCGAGAGGCCCCGGCCCCTCCTCTCCCTGGGAAGCCCCTGCTGAAAGTCGCGGAAATAAAACTGCAAATGGCTAGTGAACTGAAAGCCCTAGAAGCTAGATGTGGAAGGGGGGAACTCCTGGAGAGCGGACACTTACAATTTCGCATAAAAGTCACAGAACTCCTTGTAGACTTGCACGTCACTGTGTCTGCGCTGCAGTTTCGACACAGCCCTCTCGTCTTCACTGCCATTCGCCTGGTGGATACTGTTAAGGGCTGTCTGGGGTAGTTCTTCATTCTCTGGGATGACATAGGGGCGCGCCCTGCCCGGGAACGCCATCCGTGGGTGCTTGAGAGCTCGGAGCCCAGGGCAGAGAGCAGCGGGAGCTGGACAGGAGCTGGAGAAACAATATGCAGGCGCCCCGCTCCCTGCCAGGGTCACTCCCACTGTTCCCACACACGTCAGCCCCAGGCCTGCCAGGGTCGCTCCTGACCCTTCACGTTAAGAGCTCCAGGAGCAAAGCAGTCACTGGGCATAACAGTCTTGATTTACTGAGGCATTTTGGAAGCTCTAGAAAACATTCCACGAAGTTGTGACAGTCTTCGCTGGAGCGGCCTTCCCAGTGGACTGTGTCTGTACACATTACTACAGAAACAGAGGGCTGCTTGGTAGGCTCCCAGAGAAAGAAACATCCAAGTCTCTGGGTGTCTGTCCCACTAACACTGTGCTTCTCCACTTGGGTGGGCACAGGAATCTCTCAGAGAGCTTGTAAAACACTCCCAGCAATTCTGTGTTTCTAACAAGCTCTCTGGTGAGAGCAATGTTGCCGACACACTCTGAGGGGCATCATAATGTCCAGGGCATGCTTGCCAGCTAGGCCCTATGGCTGCCTTCCCCCAGGAGTCTGAGAGTCCCCGAAATTAAGAGTTACATTTGACTTTTATTTATCCTAGCACTTGGCACATAGTAAGAGTTCCATACTGCGTTCAATGAACGGACACACAGGGAAATACGGAAGAACTGGAGTTCCCAGCTAATTGTGTGACTTAGGTGAGCCAACGTGTCTTGGTCTTTATCATGACTAAGGATGCCACTGGCATTCTGCTATACCCACTTGACACTACTGTTGTCTTACAACAGTATTAGCCATGAAGACGATGATGATGCAGCACCATGGGCAATACAAGGGTCAGTGTCTTCTCAAGTCCCAGTCCTCTCAGTACCAACGTGCCATCCCACCAACACCAAGGTACCAAGGGGCATTGAGAAAGGAAATCTAGGGAATAGGTAAAAGGTACATTGACCAACAGAGCAGATCACACTCGAGATACGAGAGCCATGAAATCAACAGCAAATAGATAAAATGCGCTGAGGCTCTTGAGTCATAACTATGAATAATGAATGACGCCTAAGTGTTAGTAAGTGCTTACTATCATATCCCAATAAAGTAGGTATTATTTACAGATGAGGAATAACTAGTATGTGGTGAAGTCAAGATTTAAACTTACGTAGTCTGATTCTAGATCCTAGATCCTATGTTGTTTACTATGCGAGCAAATGTTAAAGGTAATTGCTGGAGAGCAAAACAGGTTAACTAGAAAAGATTAGGTAGCGGGTACAAAAATGGGACTAGAAGCAGAAAATGAGATCCAGTCTTCTCACTCTGAATCTTACAGATTTCAGAACACAGGTCAGAAACTCAAAGGCTGTGGATCCTGCCCAGGCCTCAGGCCTGTGGCTGATGGAACAACAGACTCACCATTTTTAAATATTTAAATGTTTAATTTTTTTTTTTTTTTACAATGACCATGGGGACCAGAGAGAGGAGGCAGCAGGCATGCAAACATTCACACAGACACGCACACACACACCCTCTGACTCTGAGACCAGAAACACAATGCACTGAACTAGGTTAGGTAGCATGGTCGGAAGTGGGGAGCCATACGAGTCTCCTGCCCAGAATACTTCTTCTCTCTTAACCTAATTATGTTAAGAGAGATATTCACATTTCTACTTTACCTAAGACACTCCTCTTTCCAAAACTCAAAATCAATCTTTAATTATCTTTAAACTTCTCTATCTCAGTATACTGGGACCTAGTCCATGAACATAGGGACTTGCCCTCCCTAGGGAGAAGGTTCGAGACAATGACTTGATGGTCAAATAGAAGGAAGGAGGCCCACCACCACTATGCTCTCAACAATAATCCTTCCAACTTGCCAGTCTACTATTAGCTTTCAAGAATTAATTTATCCTGCATTAAAAAATAAACAAGACTAATATTACCTTCTCAGAGAGCTTAAGTGACTTGCACAAAGTCACACAGCTAGTAAGTGCAATGTCCCAAACTCAAATTCAGACGTCTGCCTCCAATGTTTTTGTTTGTTTTTTACCTCTTTATAAAATCCATCCTGGGGCCAGCCCTGTGGCTTAGTGGTTAAGTGCGGTCACTCGGCTACTGGCAGCCCGGGTTCGGATCCTGGGCGTGCACTGACGCACCGCTTCTCCGGCCATGCTGTGGCTGCATCCCACATACAGCAACTAGAAGGATGTGCAGCTATGACATACAACTATCCACTGGGGCTTTGGGGAAAAAAACAAAAAAAAAAAGGAGGAGGAGGATTGGCAATAGATGTTAGCTCAGGGCCAGTCTTCCTCAGCAAAAAGAGGAGAAATGGCATGGATGTTAGCTCAGGGCTGATCTTTCTCACACACACAAAAAATAAAATAAACAAAATAAAATAAAATCCATCCTGTACTGGTGCTTCCAGTAACTGATACATTTGTCCATGCCTAAAGAAAAAAGCTGTCAGGCTCTATTTGTTTATTTTCCTTACAATATTCTTTACAGTTCTTAATCCATACTAGGTCTAGTGATTGTGAATCATGTTCATTCTCCCGCCAAAAACATCATCAGATCCAAAATATTCTGCGACACTGAGGTAATGCTACTTGGAGACACCAACCTACAGGGCAGAACACAGAAGTAGGTACGAGGAGACTTCCCTTTCCTTTCAGTTCAAACAGTATCCAGGAGAGCAGGACCCAAGCTCTCTACCTTCCTTTAGCCTCACTTAACATGCCAAAAATGTCACCTCCAGGAGGGGAGGAACTTTGTCTTGTCCATGCCGGTACCCAAGCATCATGAAGAGTCCACCACTCTGCAGATGCACAGTAATTATCTGTTGGTGAACGAACTGGGGCTAATAATCCATCTACTTGATCTAGCAAACCATGAAAACAATGAAAGCAAATTAGTTGCCAGTCTGCATTTTGAGTCAGCAGGAGGTCTAAAAATCTAACTAATTATCTTCTTTACTTCATAACAACTGGTTTTATTTCTACCAGATAGAAAAGTAGAACTAAGAAAAAGCTAATGGCTCATGAGCATATGACACAATGAAGTCTCTTATCTGCCAAGGAATTAAAAATAACATGAAAGGTCTGCAATAAAATTTTTAACTTTTTATTCTGAAATAATTATTGAGTTGCAGCAAGTTACAAAAATTGTACAGAGAAGTCCTTTGTACCCTTCACGAAGTCTTCCCACTGGTTGTATCTTATGTAACTGTGGTACGACACCAACACCAGGAATCTGACACTGGCACAATGTGTGTGTACAGGTCTATGTCATTTCATCACATGGGTAGATTCATGCAGCCACCGCGCCATCAAGATGCAGAACTATTCCATCACCACAAAGATCCCTCTCATGTTATCTCCGATGGTCGCACCCACCTTTTCCCCACCCTGCCGTCTCTAACCCCTGGCAACCACTAATCTGTTTTTCATCCATATAATTATAATTTAGAGAGAGTTACTGCTATGGACCAAATGTTTGTGTCCCTCCAGAATTCACACGTTGAAGCCTAATCCCCAATGTGATGGTATTTGGAGGTAGGGCCTTTGGGAAGGTGATTAGGGTTAGATTAGGTCATGAGAGTGGGGCATTAATCCCTCTTGCCCTTAGAACAAGAGGAAGAGATACAGAGGACTCTCTATTGGCCATGTGAGGATACAACCAGAGGCGGCTGTCTACAAGCCAGGAAGTGGATCCTCATTAGACACCTTGATCTCCTGGTGCCCTGATCTTGGATTTCCCAGCCTCTAGAACCCTGAGAAATAAATATTTGTTGTTTAAGCCATGTAGCCTGTGGTATGTTTGTTATGGCAGCCCAAAGTGACTAAGACAGTTACATAAATGGAATCACACAGTAGTGACCTTTTAAGGTTCGCTTCATTCAGTCAGCATAGTGCCCTTGAAATCCATCCAAGTTCTATATATATCAACAGCTTCCTCCTTTTTATTGCTGAGTAGTATTCCATGGAACGGACATAACCCAGTTTGTTTAACCATTCACCCACTAAAGGACAGTTAACTAGTTTCCAGTTTGGGGCTGTTGTGAATTAAGCTATGCACAGGTTTCTGTGTGAACATAGGTTTTCATTTCTCTGGGATAAACGTCCAAGAGTGAAATTGCTGAGTTGTATGATAAGTGTATGTTTAGTTTTTTTAAGAAACTGTCAAACTTTTTTCTAGAGTGGTTGTATCATTTTACATTCCCACCAGCAATGTATGAGAGATTCAACTTTTCCACATCCTTGCAAGCATTTGGTATCACGATTATTTTTTATTTCAGCTATTCTAACAGGTGTACATTATTATGTACATGTATTAAGTTTATATACATACAGATTAGTACAAAAAGAAGTCAGAACTATCACTCCACCAGATAATCATATTGACAAGAAGGAAAAAAGAGTAATACATGTATTTGGGAAAAAATTCAAACACTACATTGAGTTATAAAATGAAAAGTCAAGTCTTTTAATAGTTTGCGTATGTGTGTGTACGTGTGTGTTCTACTAATCTTAACCATCCCTTTGATGAAACTAAAGAGCTTACTAAAAGAATGATTTGATTTTTGGTCACCAACAAGATATTAGGTTGAAATTAAAGCAAATCTGTTTTTGGTCTGTGTTTTGTTTCCCCCAGTGGCCTAAGTACAGCCAGGCTCACGGTTCTTACTGCTGACAGAGCCACTAGAGGACTGTGCTTGGACAGGAAATACATCCTGGCCGCCCCCACCATCAGCCTCTACATTGCTCTATACCATCAACTAAGTCGGTTCTATGGTGTCCTTCTGCTAAATCAGATTAGTGCTGGAAATTTAAATTTAAAAATTCTTTTATCTCTTCAAGTTATGCTATTTAAGGAATATTGTGTTAAGGGGAAGCAAACAGAAAACCTTCCATTTTTTCTCGTTTCCTCTACTTCCAGCAAGAACTATGTAAATGAGGGTGCTTGGCACTCAGTAATCCTAAATAGAACTCTTCAATAAAAGTCACCTCAATATGAATCAGTTTTATGGTCACAGGTATCATATATACTATGTAAATATTTTTAAACTGTTGAGTCAATCAGCGTAACAGCATTTATATGGATGTTCAGACAGGTTTGTGGTGCTGTCTTTTTGTTCACAATTTTGCCAGATCTCATTTTTTCCTCCTTTCCTTTCTTTTCATCACCAAGGAATATCCTAACCGGGAGCTGGGAGGGAGAAGGAAGGCTAAGGTTCTAAAAGAAGAAAAGATGGG